GGGGAGAGGCTAGAGGCCGTCAGTAAGTGGTGCCCCGGAGTTTGCTAGGCTCCGGGGGTTCGGCAATTGGAGCCTCTATTGCCTTCTTAAGAAAGACACGCTGGGTTTGAAAGAACCCACAGTGCTTAGAGATCCATCTCTCTGTCTTTCTCTCCAACTTGGGCAGAAACCACCCAAGCCTTTTGTACGGCTAGCAAGCCAATAGCTAGCCGCCACGTGTGCCTAAATTAAGACTGGCCAATAATGTGGCTCAAATCTCAATACAAATGGCGGGAAAACTCCTTTGCAGCGTGCATCACTAAATGCAAAAATCAAGCAAGATGCAAAGAAGGCTACAGAACGGCGGGAAACACTTTTGTGCACGCGGGTTCTCCATAACAACAGAACACTCCGTCGTGCAAAAGAGCTCCAATTCGGCGGGAACATAATTTAGCGGTGCCGAAGCACACACAATTAAAAAATCCACAACTTTGGGTTGTGACATAGCCCAACTCCTGGCTGAAGCCTTCAGGAGATTTTAGGGCAAAGTAAGCCTGTAGCACAAAGTTCAGTTTTTCAGTACACTGGTAGCATTAGCAGTGGCAGAAGTAGCATTGTAGAAATTGTATCATAGCTGCAAACTCTTTTCCATCCAACTACCCTGTATTTTATAGTGTCTTTTTTTAAAGAAACAGCTAATCAGCACAAGAGCAGGCTGTCTAATTTGGAATAAAGGTTTCTGTGGATTCCCAAGAAGGTTGACCTTGTCAGAAATAATACTTGAGGTGTCTTTGCACCATCAAAGGATCTAGAGCACTTTACAAGTTAGGGGGATATTATTATCCCGGGAGGAAGGACAGAGGAGTGAAATCTCGTACTGAGGATTTCACAATGAGTCTGTCACAGAACCAGGAATAGAACCTGTCCTTTTGATTCCCATCTCTGTGCTTAAGCCATATAATCATCTCTTTTCCTCTGCCACCTCAGCTACAATTAAGGAGATACACTGTTCATTTTGGGAATGTGTGATGAAATGAATGGGATAAGTTATTGAACAGAGACCTATTCTCTCTTGATGAATTAAATTCAGAGGCCACCAGGTGAGCTGAGTAACTCCAAAGTTACATGGTGCTCAGCCATGGTAAAGTTACTGCCAAACCCAGAGAGCAGCTGTCTCTGTTCGGCAGCTATGGGGGGATGGCTGATCTAAGCTGGGCCTGAGAAAAGAGGAAGCAAGTGTAGTGAAAGGGTGAGATTTGTGTGATTTTTCCTTCCCAGTGGTTGGGGACAAGGACATCTTTACTGAGAATCGGATCCTCTTACTTCAAGACACCTCTTTCTTACTGACCACTGGTCACTTTGTTTCCTGGTGGAATGAAATGTTCTGAGTCTTGACCCAAGGGCAGTGCTGCCAAGAACTTTTTCTTGCAAATGAGTGCAAAAAACCAGAACGCTAGAGCCATTAATGTTTAGCCTTCAGCTTGCTTTTACTTGCAGGGTTCTCAGTTTCCTCTCCTTAGTCACTGCTCCTTGTATTCCCGGTAAAAACAGTGCAGGTTCCTTGTCTTGCCAGTTGTCACATCTGGGGAGCTTATTCACAGAGAACTAGGAAAAAGTGTGTGGGAGAAGTCCTAAGGTTTGGCCTCTTTCTAAACTATTTACTCTTGCAGAAGGGATACAGCAGCAGGCAAGTGTGTAGCACCCCTTGGTGCTGGACACTGGCAGCAGTGAAAGAGCTCAGGGTTCAGCACCATGCATTATGCAAGATGAATCATGAGCCCAGCCCTCCCCCACTCCTTCCAGAAGCAAAGAGATCCTGCCCAACGATTTACTTGTGAAATTAGTAGTGAGGAGCTGAAGCCACAGAAACGTCTTGGTGCCCCAGAGGGAAGTACAGGCACTTTGTGCCACTTATCAAATGATGGCACAGCTCACTGGAAATTGCAATGAGATGGAGGTAAGTGGAAATGTGTTCTCTGGCTGAGAGATTAGTGAGCATTTGTGAGGGGATAGGGAAGGGACTCGACATTTCCCTGGCTTCCTACCTAAAAAACAGTTCTCTGTGCAGTACCTTTAACATACAACCTTTCCTGACCACCCCCACTTCCACCTAAGCTCTCCTTATGTTATGTCTCCGATCTTCTCTTGCCCCATTTGTATCCGTGCAAATTGCTGTGGCAAAGATTTTCTTATCACTTTGGCCATCTCATCCTTCCCTCTGCATCCCTGGACTGGCTTCCCTTTTTGCATGAAATGTTAGTTACTTGTTTCTATTTTCAAGGCTTCTCATGGGCTTCCCTACGCTGTTGATGGTTTTACTCATGCTATGGAAATGCTGACTGGCCGCTAGTGCTAGTCTTCATCACTGCCTTTTTAACTTCTCAAACAAGTGTCTGTGTATCCTCCTTTGCTGTCTGTCATATTCCACCTAGACATTGCAAAACCATCTCATTGTCCTCCTTCAAAACCTTCCTGAAAACTCCCTTTTCATTGATACCTACAAAAACCTTCACACCAGTGGGGAAGATAGCAGGCTTAGACCACAGCCCATCTTGCTGACCAGGATCATCTCTTTGTCTGTTTCTCCGTATCCAGCTGTTGTCTTTTATCTTGTACTTAGGTTGTAAGTTAAGGACCTACCTTTTTGTTCTGTGTTTATACAGTGCCTAGCTCTCTTGGGTCCTGGTCCATTTTGGGGTTAGTGAAAGCATTTAACTATTTCTATCTTTATTCATTTCTCCATTTCTCTCTCCCTTTTCTTCCCTCCCCCCCTTCCTCCCTCCCTCCCTTCCTTCCTTCCTTCCTATAGGCAAAAATGTCAAGGCCAGTTCAAGCTCAGAGGCTGGAAGGACTGGACAAGAATGTCTGGTAAGTCTGCCTGACTGGCATTAGGTAACTCGAAACATAGCATGATCTGGAAGCCTGACATAAGATATGCACGCCAAGGAGATAATGCTAGTTCCACCCCTTGCATGCCTGGCAGAAATTACCTATTCTCTTTTATACAAAGAGATCTTAGTCAGAGGAGGGCTGTGCCTAGGCAGGCTGCCTGAATCCCTTTAATTCTCTGTGGTTTGCTCTCTGCAGGGTGGAGTTTGTGAAACTGGCTGCCACTTACCCAACTGTGAACCTTGGCCAGGGCTTCCCTGACTTCTCTCCGCCGGACTTCGTGAAGGAGGCATTTGTGAAGGCTGTCAGCGGAGAGAATGCCATGCTGCACCAGTACACCCGGGTCTTTGTGCGTGAGAGCATTCTCCTTCTACAGCAGTTGCTGCTCTCCCCACTAGCCTTTGAATCAGACAGCTCCTAAAGACCTCAGTTGTCCAGAGGAAGTAGAATAGATGCCCTGGCTGGGCAAGTGGAGTTGGGGAGTCCCTGAATCTTCTTTGAGAGGGAGGGGAGCCAAGAGGCTTCATGCTGAATGCTCTCTGTAAAAAAGAAAGCAGGGTAAAGTCCTCTAGAATTGAGCAGAAAGAATTGGGTTCAAACCCCTGCTGGATGTAGAGGACTAAGAACCTGGGCATCTGGCTTTCTAGGCAAGTGTCCTAACCACTCACCTATCAGGGCTATAGCAGAAGCATGTCTCTCCTTCTCCTCCATCTAATGTTCACTAGTCACAGGTTTTGCTACTTACATGCCTTTATGCATCCACAGCGTTGAAGAGGCCAATCCAGTTAGAGTTGTACAACTCACGCTCTCTCCCCCTACAGGGACACCCTGCTCTGGTGACCATCCTGGCCCGCTTTTTTGGGAAGCTCCTAGGTCAAGACATCGATCCTTTGACCAATGTAATGGTGACCGTTGGGGCATACGAGGCCCTGTTCTGTTGTTTCCAGGCTCTGGTCGATAGTGGAGATGAGGTAACAGAGGACTCTGGTTATACTACAACTGTCCTGGCATCTGCATGTAGTCCTGCTGCCGCACAGCAAGGTTGGGCATGAAAGGAGACGCTTTTGTTTAGTGACACAGGCCATCCTGTGGAAGGGCTGGTCTGCTTGTTAAGGGCTCTCTGATTCCCGGAGCAGGGTGCTCACAGCTAACCTTCTGCAGAGAAGGGGTTTTGCAAATCCCACTCCTCTTCAGCCATCCGCTGTTTTGGTTCCCGGTGAGAAAATGCATCGCCCCGTGGGCACCAGCCAACCTTCTAATTTCCAACAGTGCCAAAAGTTTTTTTCTGCCCATGTTAGTCATTTCTTCTTGCTAGTACCCAGCCACTTTGGGATTAAAGAGCTTAAGCTTAAACTAATGAATTTACATCTAGAAGTGACATCTCCTGCCCCCTGTATATCTCCCTGCATCCCATAGCAATGATAAGAGCGGGACTGTGAGATCCCTGACGCTGCCTCTTATCCTCTGCAGGTGATTATCATTGAACCCTACTTTGACTGCTATGAGCCGATGGTGAAGATGGCTGGGGGAACTCCAGTGTTCATACCACTGCGACCAGTAAGTGGGCATCAAAGCAAGTCATCGATTTTAAGGAGTTTATTCATCTTAGTAACAGCATGTGTAGACCAACCCACCCTGTGGAATCAGGCAGTCCAGGGGCTGGTTACCTTTCAGGCCTCCTGAAGTGGGATACTTTGTTACAAACTTTGTAACAGGAAAATTCTAATTTTTTGTCTTTTCATCCTGATTCAGGTTGATTTTTTTCCCCCTAAAATTCAAACATGAGAGGTCAACTCTCTTTTCCAGCCAGTCCTAACTAGGAACAAGGGCTCCATTCCTGACACTTCCACTGAATCGCTATACTACCTGGGCCTGGACACTGCAATACTTTGTGCCTCAATTTACCCATCTTTAAAATCAGGGCAAAGACATTGACTTACCTCAACAAGAGTGCGATTGGGTGGCTTAATTCATTCTGTTAGCAAAGTGCTTTGAGACACTCAAATAGAGATGTAGGAAATGAGCAATATATTGTTATAAAGACTCAGAGACACTCCTAGCCAGAGCACAGTGTAAGGTCGCCCCAATCTCCAGACATCATTTGTTTCTTAGACCATAACTCCCTCTCTCTGACCTCTCCAGAAAACTCCAGCACCTGGAAAACTCATGTCCAGTGGAGATTGGCAGCTGGACCCAGCAGAGCTGGCTTCCAAGTTTACCAGACGAACCAAGGCCATTGTCCTGAACTCACCCAACAACCCCTTGGGGAAGGTAATGCTGCGGTGGTTGTGAGAGGACTGAAAGTGCTGAACTGAAGAAACCAGTGCTGGTTGTCTCCCTAGAGCCTGCACTTGCATTGTGCCTCAGTCTTCTCCTGCCTGAAGCTCCTGAGAGGACTGGGTAGGCAGAGAAGTCAGGGGTGGCCCTGAGACGGTCTGCTGAGGGTCCCATTTCACAGAAGTCATATCACTCACCTTTGAACAAAGAGTAAGAAGGGGGGAGAAAAGTTGCGCCCCAAGGGACGACCCAGTGTTAGCACATTGCACTTGTTGCTATGGGGTGGGTTGGTTTAGAGCCTTATCTGTCATTTCCGAGAGACAGAGAGCATCTTCCAAGCTGACAGTCAGCTCCCTAGGTCTAGCAATGAGCATCTCATCTCAGAGTCAAAAGGGGAATCCCTGTCTATGGAATCTGGATGAGAGGACGTGCTGCGAGGGACAGCATGGTCCCTGTGGGCAGAGGGTGCTGCTGTAACTTGGAGGGGACAGTGTCACTCCTGATGGGAGAGATCATCCTGTGAGGCAGTTCCTGGCACCTCTCCGCCTGCTCCAAGGAGGGAGCAATGGGCCGACAGTCTGGAACTCACAGCCCTGCTTGAACTGAGCCTGGACACCCACCATGGGATGTGGAGACTCCTAGGATAGGCGCAGCAGAGGCCAAGGCAAGCTGGGCCTGAAAATCCCCCTCCTGCCTGGCATAGGTGTTCAGCAAGAAGGAGATGGAGATTATTGCAGACCTGTGTGTGAAACACGATGTCCTGTGCTTCAGTGATGAAGTGTATGAGTGGCTGGTCTATGATGGGAAGAAGCATATCCGGATTGGTAAGAGGAATGGCTTGCAGGTACCTGGGCCTCTGCACACTCTTGATCTAAATCTCCTTCCTAGAAAAAGAGCACTGTGCTGCTGTGCTTGGGGATGGGATAATAGTGACCAATCAAATGTATTTCACTCGCTTCCCCCGACAGCATTTGGGAATTAACTCAGTATTTAAGGGGAGCTAATAGAGCTCTGCCATGGTACCTCTTGCTCCCACTGCACTATTCCCTGAAAGTGCTTGGAGGCATTTGAATGAGAAGCCCTTTATAAATGTACAATGGCTGTACAAACTGCAGTGGCCCCAGGGGTCCCCTTGTGGCACTAATACGCTCATTGAACCTGTGATGTTGTTCACTGGAAGATCTTCCAGCTGCTCTTCTCTTGTTCCGTTGGCAGCCAGCTTGCCAGGAATGTGGGACCGGACCATAACCATTGGAAGTGCTGGAAAAACCTTCAGTGCCACAGGATGGAAGGTAACAGACTGAAATGGGGGAAGAATTCCCTCGCGGAAAACCTTTCTGCCTTTGCCCCCTGATTCACTTGATCCCTTGTGAGAGTCTGTGACTGAGGTTGAATGGAAATCAAATTTATGCTTCTTATTCCCCGAAACTGCTCTACCAGATGCTTTGTCCAGGCAGGTTGCATTGTAACATGGGGGATTCTGTCTCTGTGAGCGTGCCTTTAAAGCTGCGGGCTTGGAGGCCCCAATTGATGCTTTAGAGACTGATCTGGTCTTGTCTGGGATAGAGGGGGAAGTGGCAGGAGGTAAAGTGAGCAGGTGTAGGATGCCTATAAATCAGAAATGCTCTCTCCTCTTTGTGGTAACAGGTTGGCTGGATGTTTGGGCCTGATCATCTTGTCAAACACCTCCGAACTGTCCACCAGAACTGTGTGTATCACTGCCCAACAGCAGCTCAGGTGAGGGGAATGCTTCTGGGGAGGCTCTTGTGTCCATAGTCCCTCTGCCAAGTTCCAGGCCCAGCATAGTTTGACCCACCCCTTGTCCCCTGTGAATCTGGGAAAGAGCGAAAACTCTCATTCTTGGGTCTTTAGCAAACTGCGAGAATCTCTCTGTTCCTGTCAGAGAATGCTCTGAGCGTACGCAGGGGTGTTTTCCACTGGCTTTGAGTTCCTCTCTCCCTGCAGGAAGCAGTGGCTCAAGGGTTTCAAAGAGAGTTTGAGCACTATGGGAAGCCAGAGAGTTATTTTGTCCAGCTGCCTCAGGAGCTGCAGCAGAAGCGGGACCGGCTAGTTCAGAGCCTACTTGCTGTGGGCATGAAGCCCATCATCCCGGAGGGCACCTACTTCCTGATTGCAGACCTCTCTGACTTCAGTAAGTTTGGGGCTGTTGCACCTGCTCCTGTCCTTCCTACCGAAGGCTGCAGTTCACCACTGGGGCATTGGGTCCTGCAAAGTCTAGAAAAAAACAAAACCTAGTCTGTGGGTGCATCTACACATCTGCTGTAATGTACAGTAGCTTATTATATTGCTTATAAATGTGGTGCATATATAACTGTGCTAACACGCTAATGTGTGGTAGAATAAGCTACTGCATATTAAGTGTCACCTCAAAAGTGTGTGCTTGCTCTACTGCGTATTAGCGCAATCTAATGCGCATTTACTTAGTGCCTCACATTGGAGGTATTAAATTTAAAGTGCATGTAGATGCGCCCTGTGTTCCTCACTGTTCATTAGGAAGGGAAAGGAAAGGATGAAGCATGAATTTGGTATGTGAGTGAGTAAATGTAGTGCTTAGTGTAGTCCTGACTTAATAGCACTGTATTAAATTGAGTAGTGTGGGCAGATGCTGTGTCATCTCCCCCAAGCACCTACAAACTCACATAACTGTAGCCTATGATCAGTTGTAGAAGAGGGGCTGTCCTGGTCTGGGACTTCCTTTGAAACAAGACCAGCAAATGTGCTCTACTGCCCAGTAATAGAATGACATGGCCACGTGCATTTCCACCTGTGGCCTGAGGCAGTTTAAATTCAAGTCCTTAGAGAAGATGGATGCATGTACTCGCCCTCAAGAGCATCTGAGTTCCCACTGGCATTTGGCCTGGTTTGGAAATCTATCTACGACTCGTTTGTGCCACCATTTTCCTTGCCCACATTGCCGTGCATGTCTTGCAGAAGCTGAAGTGCCCAATCTCCCTGACTGCGAGGAACCCTACGATTCTCGGTTCATAAAGTGGATGATCAAGAATAAGGTACACACCTCTGTCCCTTCCCATGGTGCTTGTATTCTGAGTGGGTTTTGCCATTCTCTTTGCTCTACTTCAGTTCAAGGCTTGTGTTGGCAGTGGTGCATTGACTTGAAATAGTTGGTCTTGCTGTTGTAGAGCTCTGGGACTGCCTACCGTTGCTCCACCTTTTCTAATTTGCAACCTCTTCCCTGCCCTGTTGTCTACTAGAGTTCATCATTGCCTTCCCTTACATTAGCCAGATGTTCATATAACCACCTTCTGCCCAGCTGCCTCAGAAGTCAGGGACTGCTACCTTCTCTGTGATGGCTTCTCCAGGTGACAACCTTGTTGCATCCTGCTGCCAGCGTCACCCTCCCCATGCTGATAGTCCCTGTGACAACAGAGGCTTTCAGTACTGAGTCCCCCAAGGACATAAGAGAGATAGAGGAGGATCACATCAGGTTTGCCTGGCAACAATTGGCTTCTATTGAGCAGTTTATCACTAATCTTGAGATGAGCAAGCCACTAGAAGTGAGACTTACCTGGAATTTCTGTGAGCGCTGAACCTTGTGCAGATCTGTGGCTTCTGATGATCAGAGGTCATGTGAGATTCTGCAGAAGCTGAGAGGGGAGTAATGCAATGTTCTCATGTTCTCCTTCTCTGCTCCCTTTACAGGGCTTAGCTGCCATCCCCGTCTCTGCTTTCTACAGCACTGCACAGAAGAGGAATTTTGACCATTTAATTCGGTTCTGCTTTGTGAAGGTGAGGTGCCTGGGAGAGCCAGCCTCAGATAAGTGGGGTCAAGGTACTGACTGTTCCAGTGATGAGGTGAATGCCAGGCAGGGCCAGGCCAGGCTGCAGAGAGGTTCAAGAGTCCTGTCCTAGTTCCAGATGCCTGCATGCAAACCAAGCTGCACCCTTGTGCTGAAGGCTGTCCCCACTGAGCCCAATTGTAAGAAAGACACTTAGTCTTTCAGGCAAAGGCATCAGACATAACACTAATCACATCACCCCTTGTGTCCCGTTGGCAGTAGAATGGGGGCTTCCTTAACTGTGCTAGCTGATGAACCAGCTTGGGCAGACCTTGGGCTTTTTTGATGCCAGGATAGATGCTTGATTCATGGGCTTACAACACAGAACAGGTAAGTGGAACCACTGGTTTAAGATCTGGCAGGATGGGCTCAGTTCTTCAGGTTTCAGAGGCAGATGAAGTGAGATCAGTGCAGCACACTTTCACCTGAGATCCTGATCCGTGTTCTGTATGCTTGCAGTGTCTGTCTACACACCATTTCCCCAAGGCTCCCAGACCCACAACTTTCAAACATGTTCTGCCCACCCAATCCCACTTTCTAAGCACCAAACCTGGAAATGAGTCTGTGGAGCTAAGCTAAGGATGATTCCTGCCACCGCTCTTGAGATCTTGGTCCTGGCTTGCTCGAGAGTGGTGGTGGAGGTGTCCTCAGCACAACTTTGCATCCTCATTTGCAGGTTGGGCATATGTGGAGTGGGAGAAGATAAGGCAGTGGTTCTCAGCCTTTTTAGACTCAAGGCACCCTTTGTTAGACTCAAAAGTCCCCTTGGAAAATGCCAGCTGTTAGCTTTAACTTGTTTTTTTTGACTACAGAAAAACAATAGAGCAATTCTTCTGTTTCAAAGAATTCAGAAAGACCACGACAGGTCAGAATGTTTTTGACATCATGAATTCCTATTCAGAATCTCTGGTTTATCTTGTAAATCAAGGGAAGGTGCTTGCATACCTAATAGCGCTAATATTGCATAGCACCCTCAAAAGGATCTGACAGCACCCCAAGGTATTGCAACACCTTGGTTGAGAATGACTGGGATAGGAACTAGGGTAGCTTGAGAACAGTCCCCCTGGGAGCATCAAGGCAGCAGTGTAGATACTCCCACAGTCACTAGAGACATCCGACTGAACTTAAAAAGCATAGAGCTTTGCTCCTGTGCATTTGGCCAAAATGTCCTCTCTTGCTGCTTTGAGATTGCTGGGCCTGTGCACAGAAGTGGCTGCCCTTCCTGATCCCATGTGTGTAGCATTTGTGGTCTTGCAGAATAGAAGTAGGGGTTTGAATAGCGCATTCTGTTATTTTACTATGCAGTGTGGATAATTGAGGGTTTGGGCACTGGAGCCTGCTGGTACTGACTGATTGATGTTTGGTTAGGAGGAAGCTACGCTGAAGGCAGCAGAAGACATACTGCAGCAATGGAAGCTGAAGAAAACTGGTCCATGATCCCACTAGACAGAGTACAGGGCTTCTTTTCATTTTGCCGTGCTCTGTTGTGTCCTGCTCCTCTTATTGCAGCCAACGTGGTTACAGACTCTTGCCTGAGGTCTTGATTTTAGCTATTTACTGCATCCCTAGATTTCAGCCACTTCTCCTGTTTGCTCTGGCAAGATGGTTGTCAGCCCCTGGGCCTGGTTCAAAGCTTTATGTCACTGTAAATTGTTCCACTGCCCCCTGGGACTGGCAACCCTGCAGGTACACTGGAAATACTTTATAATTCCTATTTATAATCTATTTACCCTGGGATTCCTGCAGATAAAACAGATAGCACAAATAGCTGCCAGGTTATTGGTGAGGATCTTCTTTTCCCCACCTCTGAAGTCATCATGAGACAGGAGAGCTGGCTTAGACTTCTTGGGGGCACTTCCCCATGCTGTTACACTTGCGTGGCGCAGGCAGAGTCTCAGCAGAACCTAGGTTTCCCAGATGGCACTGAACAATATTACTGCAAGGCTGACTGGCTGAGCTCAGACATCCTAGGTCACTGGAGTCCTTAAACCCAGCACTTTTCCCATTGGTCCATTCTGTTCTACCATTTTGCATCTCTGAAGCAAATCACTGCGAACTGGACAACCAGCTGATCTAGAAAACTTGTCTTAGCAAGAAGTTTAATCTGAAACCCTGCCCATCTATCCTTCAAACTCCATCAACTGTACTTTATCAGCACCTAGCATTGCATTTCCCAAATAGCAGAACAAGTGCTTTGGACCTTCAAAAATGCTCAACATGAGATGCGGAGGCTAAGAAAGTAAGAGTGAGGGACTTGGCTTCCTTTTCTGTTGCCTAACAACATCTCCAGTGCTTTACCGAAATTCAGCTATGAGTTGCGTGGCTTTGAGGAGAGCAGCAGAGGGCTCTGGTTTCTGTACTTGTGTTTTTCATACACTCCCATTTGAGAAATGGATTATTTTTCACACAGCGTGGATTAGATTTTGATCATTCACCCTGTTGCGACATCTTAATTTAAATATGGGGGGGGCTAAGGTGAAAGTAAACACATGTAAATCAGCATCTTAAACCATGATAGAGCTGTACGTAACTGTAATGAGAAGCATTTGTACTACACATTTAAATGACTAAAATGGTCAAACAGAAGTAGGGGTTCGTCTACTTAATGCTTTTGGTGTTTGCTACAGTCCACCTTCAGCTGTAGCCAGCAGCAGGAGTTTCCTGTGGGTGCACCTGGGCTACGGTTAACATCTCTGAGATATACACAAGGGGCCAAGGGTAGAGCTATGTAAATGAAACTAAGAGGGAAAATCATCTTGCAGACTTGAGCCAGTGGATGCAGAGCTGGTTTTGGTTAGGGGGCCCAGACTAAAGAGTAAGTCCTGCGTTTCCCCACGCCCCCCATACACAAGTGCACAGCGCAGTGGGTCACTCCTGAGACTCCTGCCTACCTGGCCGTAAATCGTCTCTGGCTAAATGACAAAACAACATAAAGTACTTCTTACACCTTAGAGGGCACGTCTACACATTCATGAATGCGACTTAGCTGCTGCACATTTAGTTAGTACTTGCTTAATAAAGTACTAACTAAACTTGCAGTAACTAGAGGTACCGCACAGTAGTGCCGGCGCTTGGTTGTTTAGTGACGCTTAGCGCACATTAGCCCAACAACGCTGCGCGGCGGCTGTTAGCACGGGTTGTAACCGCCACGCGACTGCGCGGTGTTATTGGGCTAATGCGCAGGAAGTGTCTCGTGTGTTTCAAAACATGGAGACTGTCATGAGTGGAAAGGGAAGGTCCTTAGAAACATCCTGGGAAGGTTCAGGGGGAGCCTGCCTGCAGCAGGAGCTTGCCCCTGAGGAGCCCCTTCCAGTCCTCTTTTCCTATGTATTACCAAGAATGGTTGGTACTGCATTTAAAATATAGCTCCCTTGCTGTTGCTGACCTCTTGCATCTCCCCCCCACACCCCAAAGCCCCCCGCACTACGGATGGCGCGTATACACCCAGTCCCGTCAAGAGATTGGTGCCTGGGCTCAGCTCCGCTGCCGCTGAGGTTCAAGCAGGACTTCCCTGCTAGAGCGAAGCCCCACAGTTTTGCGTCTCCCATCCAGCCCCGGAACTAGCCAGCCCCTGCTTAGTTTCAGAGGCGGCACGGAGCCCCTAGCTTCGCCGCTTGGGGCGTGATGACGTGTGTTTTCTTCCACCAATCAGCTGCCAGCGAACAGCAGGGCGGAAGCGCAGCAGCAGCAAGATGGCGGAAGCTCCCGGCAAGCGGGCGCGGGGCGCGGAGGTGAGCACGTGGGTTGGTGCCGGCGGGCCTGGAGCGAGGGGCCCGGGCGCTGTCCAGCCTGGGACCCTCCCCCCGGTCGGCAGGGCTGGAGGCTGCAAGGGGGAGAGGGCAGTGCGGGAACAGCCTGGTCAGACCCAGCCCCGCTCCCTTCCAGCCTCCGCGCCCTGCCGGCCCGTGACACCGGCCCGCTTCTTGCGTCCAAGGCATCGCGGGCCGTGGCCCAGCAAGAACTAGAAGCCTCGCTTAGGACCGGAGGCCGCTCAGCAAGTAACTAATGTCTTGAGACAAAGGAAAAGGAAAACGGGGATGGGAGCGATGGTCCGAGGTCCAGAATGATCGCTCCAAGGGGGGGGACACCGCGCAGAGCGCATTGGACGGTGCCCGCTGGCTCTCGGACACGTCCATGGAGCCAGTGGACGCTGCCGTGTGAAACTGCCAGGAGACGTGAATGGAGCAGGGACAGGAGAACGGCCCTGGGGGCCCTGTGTGTGACACGGGCCTTTTCATAAGTCGTTCTGGAACATGGGCCAAAGCCCACCAAGTAGAGCTATAAACCCCCCTGAGGAGGGGTCACATTGCTGACCCTTTGGGACAAATAAAAGACAAAACGGATGGGAGCGAGGTCATGGGTTAATAACGAGTGCTCCAAGGGGGGCACCGAGCAGAGCATGCTGGGTAGCACCCACTAGCCCTGAAATGAGTCCAAGGAAGGAGCCAGTGGACGGTGCCCAGAGATGTGAATGGACCAGGGACAGGAAAGCAGCCCTGCAGTCCCCAAGTGTCCTCTGGGTGACACAGGCCTACGTGCTTAAAGGGGTTGTGGGCAAAAAACCTACCAAGTGAACCTATAAAACTTCCTCAGAAAGGGAGGCTACTGGAAAAGTGGCAACTGATTTCCGGGAACAAATGATAACAAAACAGGGATGGCAATGAACGTCAAAGGTTCAAAATAAGTGCACCAAGGGAGGACGCTGAGCAGAGCACACTGGGCAGTGCCCACTGGCCCTCAAACGAGTCCAAAGAGCCAGTGGACACTGCCCAGTGATACTCTGCCTGGACACATGAACGGATCAAGGACAGGAAAACAGTCCTGCAGTCCCAGGGTCTTCTGTATGACACAGACTTATTTGTCCACATTTAAAAACACACGGGCTCAGCCCACCAAGTCTCTCATTGGCCTCCCTTAGGCGGGGAGGCTACAGGAAAGGGAAAGAAGAAAACAGAGTTCTTGGGACAAATAATGAAAAAAAAAAGGAGGGGAGTGCAGGTCAGAGACTCAAAAGGCATGTGCCAAGTGGGGACATCAAGCAGGAGCACACAGGACAGTGCCCACTGGCCCTCAAATGAGCCCAAGGAGCCAGCAGAGACTGCCAGTGATACTCTGCCTGGAGACATGAAAAGACCAGGGACAGGAAAACAGCCCCTCAGTCCCAGGGGTCTTCTCTGTGATGCAGGAGACTGGGCAAGATGGACCCATAGTCTGTCCCAGTAAATGACAGGTCTTATGTTCTTACTCACCTGGGTATTTCTCAGTGCCTGGCTCATTCAAATTGCTCTGCCTTGGGAGGAGTGTATTGATACATTTGCAACATGAGTGCCCCGCTGATCCTCACTAGCCAGCTGATAGAATGGACATGGTTTACCCTTTCTGTTTTAGGGGGAAGAGAAGATCGACTGGCGAAAACGGAGACAAGAAAGTAAGGACCTTCTCATACATCCTATTACAGAGCTTTGAGCAGTTCTAGAAAGAAACTAAAAGCATGCCAAGGAGCTATAGGCAGGCTGTTACTGGAATTGAGCACCCCTTTTATTTCGAAGTCATGGATTCAAAGCCAAAGTAGGCCAGGTGGCAATAAGAAGGTGCTATTCAAGGAGTATTGTATGTAAAGTGGCTCATGCCCGGTTTGTTAATAGAGATGTTTTCTCTTTACAAAAAACTGAATGAAGAAGCTAGCCTTCCCACTGCCTCAGCAAAGCAAAACTAGTCCCTTTATGTTACTGGTGATAACTGCTATTCCCTCTGTTCCTGGTGTAGTGTAATACATCTTTTTCTTCCCTGGCCCTTCCCTCATGCCATCACCCAATTCTGTCTAGTCTCCCTAAAATATGAGGTTGAGAATTTACTTAAGTTCTGGTGATAGCATTGTTTAAATTCTTGATTGTTCTCTTTTAGAAAAGTCTGAAAAGAAAAAATGGAAGGAAATCAAGTTGTTGAACAGACTGGAAAAGCAAAGAATGCAGAAGCTAATGGTGAAACAAAAAGAGGAGGAAAAGCCTAAAGAAGACAAAGGTAATGCCTAATCAGAGGAGGGCTCTGTAAGAGAAACCGGTGTTTGTGGAGCAGATAATTATACCAGCTGTATAGGCACAAATAACTATCTCAAGCAGCAACCTTCTAGCTTTGTTGCCTGAACTTGTTAATCACCTGGCAGGTGAAATACATCCTTACAGCTCTGCTCCACCTTGCAGAAGTGGTCAGTAAAGAGACCAACAAAATTCTGCTGGAGATGGTTTTCTTTGTACTTGCCTGCAATGTATCATAATTCCTCCTCTTGTCTTAACCTCTCACCATCCTTGCCTGTAATGAAGTCCTTAGTATTTGTGCAGGAAGAATGTTGCCGATCTTCTCATTTTTAACCAGCCGGACTGAGCCATTGCATCCTCCTTTAGATATTTCCCACAGAGGGTCTCTTAAGCAATTTTCCCATTTGTGTGAGAAGCAGGGTCCTTTAAAGATGTTTGGACTCCTGCCATTGGCTTTAACAAGTGTGTTGCCCTTAGCCTGCAAAGGGCACCATCTCAAAGAGCTTGGTATCCAGGCAACACTTTAAATTCTTATTAGGATTCAAGTTGCATTGTACAAACGTAGAGCAGCCTCTACACCAATGAGGTTAAAATCTCAACAGCAGAAAGGGCTGAATATAATGCAAATGGGAGCAAAGCTTCGTGGAAAGCTCTGAGCCTTCTTTGTTTCTCTAGGACGTCACTACACCATTAGTGTAGCTTTGCCAGGCTCTATACTGAACAATGCACAGTCCCCGGCATTACGGACATACCTGGCTGGGCAAATTGCCCGGGCCTGTACCATCTTCCGCGTGGATGAGATTGTGGTGTTTGATGAGGAAGAAGAAGGCTCAAGGTAAGGGTGATTCCACCTTATTCCTTGAGTTTTTCTTTGTGTTTCCTGTTTCTTTGTGCAGTTCTCAAATGGAGGGTTGGTTGTTTGCTTTGGTCAGAACTGAGCTGGTAATGAGGGCAAGGCAAGGCTTTCTCTCTCAAGTTGCTCTTTTTCTGACTGTATACTTGCGAATTCTCCAGGTACCAATGAGACAGCGTCTCATGTGGGTCTTGACTCCATGAGCTGTGTAGAGGCCTGGTTGGGTCACAGAACGTGTCCATTCTCTTTCAGGAGTGTGGAGGGGGAGTTTCATGGAATTGGGAAGAAAGGACAGGCTTGCGTGCAGCTGGCTCGGATTCTGCAGTACTTGGAATGTCCTCAGTAAGTTCAGCGTAATGGCTTCACACATCATACACACTGCTAAAGCACTTGGACAGTTATTAATGTGACAGCATGAGAGCTGGCAACAGGAGATGTTGGCGACTAGAAAAATACGACCTGAAAGTTAGTGAAGTGCCCAGTTATTCAGTTTTCTCCTGTATTGTGCTACCATATTTGGAGGTGCAGGTTCCATTCTAGTCTGCCTGTTATGCTCCCAAGTATGAGTCAAAGTCCCGTGTTAATGCACAGAAGAATACACCGTGGAAAGGGGGACAGAGGGCACAAGGAAGTCCTAGTGTCTGACACCAGCATTCATTGACCATCCTCAAGTGTGGCCAGAGCTGGGGCAACTGTGGGTTTTATTTGGAATTCAGACTGGGACTCCTTAGAAATGATACTGTTAAGACTCAAGTCTTTCTTTTCACAGATACCTGAGAAAATCTTTTTTTCCAAAACACCAGGATCTGCAGTTTGCAGGTGAGGCTTTGATGTCCTCCCTTACCCCTTTCTGTTCCCATCCTGAAGCTACAGGCCTCCCTGTCCCAGATTAATGAGTCCATTTTATACTCCCAGCCCTTCATGAACTACTTTCTTAGCCAAGCAGCCTGTTTTCATTCCAGCATGTGCTTCCCATAACTAGGGACCTACCTAAATTGAAGTTCTGTGGCTTTTGCAGAAACCATGACAAACAGCGTTGTCCATGATCACTGGGAAATCTGGCATTGGCTGCAATTTCCCACAAAATCAACCGAAAAAACCCCAGCAGTAGTGATGTAGACTGAGTGAAGGTGCCCTCTGCCAATCAGCGGCAAGGGACAGGGCCGCCACAAAATGCCTGTGAAATCAGGTCTGCATGCCGCGAGTGGGCTGCAAAAGACCTTTCCTGTGCAAGAGAGCAAACATCATCACAGCTGTGATGCTCTATTTCACTTCTGGGCACTGGGCCAGTCCAGGTTTCCATCAGTATGAGGCAGCAAGGGGTTTGCCCAGGGAGGGGAAGCCTGCTGACAATCTGTCTCAACAGCTCTGCTTTCAGTCCTTCAGCAAATTCCCTCCCATGCACACATTCTTGTGTACTGTTGCAGGGCTCCTGAACCCCTTGGACAGCCCCCATCACCTGCGGATAGATGAAGAATCAGAATACCGGGAAGGGGTGGTGGTAGACCAGCCCACCAAGCCAGGCAAAGGCTCCTTTGTGGACTGTGGAATGCGGAAGGTATGCCCCGCAGGCCCCTCGGGATAAATTCTCCGTTCGCTTTGCAGTCACTCCTTCCAAGGTCTAGGCTCGCAATGGGTTAATGAGGGGTTATGGCAAGAGCCACAACTTGCCACTGCTGGCTTTATGAACCCCGTCTTCTCTGGCCTCTGCTCTTATAGCACCCCCTGCTGGATGTTGGTAGAAACGCCAGCTCCTTTGAGCTTCCTGCAAAAGAGCAAACACCTTCATTGACCGTTTGCCCAAACTACCGTTTCCTCTGTTGTCCAGCTCCGTGAACTGGAAATTCATCATTATCCACTGCAACTGTTTTAACCCTCTCTGACCCAGATTGTATCTGGGTGATTTGCTGCTACATAAAATGAGTATCTGTCTGCACACATGCTGCACTGGGCTGGAGTGTGCCTTGCCAAAATGTGATCTTTCTTTGCCTGTTACCTTTCTGTGGCTGGCTATCCTGGTATTTAACACTTTGTGCTGTGGTTGTCTGTTATTCTAGCGGGTGCAGATAGACAAACAGCTTGAACCAGGCCTTCGAGTCACTGTTCAACTAGATCAGCACCACAGTCCAGGTAATCTGTTGTCCCCCTGCCCCAGACAGGTTGACTAGGTCACACTACCCCTGCAATCTGCAGCATAACTTCAGTCCTGCAGAATTTTTTCTTGGCCCTGGACTACTTCTGCCTTGAAAAACTGTCTGATGTGAGTCACTAGCTGTCTTTTCCTTTGTTAAAGCAACAGATAGAATAAACCTTCCTCCAGATTTGTGGCCCTGGCACTCAGCTTCAGTTACTCATCTACTGTGTATTGGTACTTAAAAGAAACGGTATCCTCATCTGTTTAAGACATGAACAGTGCTGAACACACCAAGTCTCCTCTAGGCATTTGTTAATAAATGTGAAGGGTGCTGCTTGTTTGTTTATTGCGTTATTGCCTCAACTTTTCCCTGCCCCCTGTAAAAGTGCTAGAGTGGGACACATGGGGTTCCCAACTGACTTCCAGTAGTGTCTAGAAGATTACAGAAGATAACGCACTTGTATCTCTTTCAGATTGCAAGACAAGGAAAGGCACAGTTGTGTCCTCGCACCATCCAAGGACTGTGTCTGGCCTATACTGGGGTTACAGTGTCCGGTTAGCCTCCTGCCTAAGTGAGTACTTGGCCTGTGCTCTCTGTCACCCTCTGTTCTGGCTGGGTCAGGAGCACCAGATTCCCTTCACCTAGTCCTGAAGCAGCAAGGCCTTTAGTGCCCCAGTTTCTCATGGATCCTGAGAACTCCTATTCCACTTGGTCAGTGAGAGCTTTCTAGAGCAGACATCACCTCCCAAAATGTAAAGAACCCTGGGCTAGGCTTCAAAAAGACAAGGTTTGAAAGCTGACATAATGTAATCATTGAATCCAGACAGATCCAGACATCCCTCCTGCTCACTAACTAATGACAGTTCTGGGGCTTGCTCTGCTTTTTTGGGGGAGGACACTGAGGTGGTGGAGCTGGGAGCCTTTCTTTTGATGGACTATTGATCTATTGATGGGGGGGCAAGAGATGAGTCTTTTACACTAGATACTAAAGTAGAATGATTGTTAGACTATCAGGGACAGCAACACAGTTCTCACTGCTCTGCAGTGTGGTAAGTACTGGGCTCTGTTTAAAACCACCCAGAATGGAGCATTTAGCATGTAGTTTCATTTTTCATAATGCTTCTTTCCCAGGTGCTGTCTTTGCTGAATGTCCTTTCAAAGAAGGCTATGACCTCTCTGTTGGAACTTCAGAGAAAGGGACCTGTGTGGACCAAGCAGTTCTCCCCTCCTTCAGGTAACTGGAGCAGCTCCCTTACACTAAATGAGCTCCAAGCAGTGAGGAACCAAAGGTTTCTCTCTTGCCAGAGCCAAACTACATCCTGGTCCCTTCTGCGGGATGGATCCTCTAATCCAAGTTTTTCAGCATTGATGATTGGACAGTTTTGCCATATGCCACTGTGGGGCAGTTAGGGCTGTTTTTTGCACTTGCCTGGGTGGCAAGTTTTGGTCCCATACCAGTCTTTTATTCCCTTTCTCTACCTGAATTAGTCATGGTGTTTGTGACTGGTCCAGAAAATCTGCATGAAGCAAGGATATTTTGTATTGTCTTTTATTGGATCAACTGTACAGCTGGGAGAGATGTTAGTAAAACTTTCAAGCACAAAGTACACTTCCTTAGGTCTGGGAAAAAAGCAGTTACAGACTAAGCTACATGCCAGTCAGCAAATTATAGTGGTTTAACACCACTGCATTAATGTAAATGATCATTTAAACTGGGAAGTGGAGGAAGTGGACAGTAAACTGATAGTGAACAGGTTATCAAACATAATTGCAGACCAACTAAGGAGCAGTCACTGCAGATAAACTTTTATGAATGGTATCATTTAAAGGGGAAGAAGACTGCTACTTCCTGTAGAACAAAATGAGGTTGGCAGAGGGGACCATAAAACCACGGTCTGAGTTTGGTTTCTAGTAAATCTTACTGGGAGCACTTGCTACCTACATAACTTTTTCCTGAATTATTCAGATGCATGGTGTGTTGATCTTGGTGTAAACCAGCTCCTTTTTACCATGCCATTTGTGCTAAAATGCAGCAAATTGCCTTTTTATTAAATTGCAGCAAGGGGAGATGTCTTGGGCAAACCTGGAGCTTCCTCTGACTTGATACTGCTGGTAAGAGCCTGTCTTAGTTGTCTGCTGTCTTCCAGACATGCCCTGATAGTATTTGGAGGTCTACAAGGCTTGGAAGTGGGTGTGGATGCCGACCCAAACCTGGAGGTCAATGACCCAAGTGTCCTGTTTGACTTTTACTTGAACACCTGTCCTAGCCAGGGCAGCCGCACCATCAGGACTGAGGTGAGGTGCTTTGATAAATAGCATAGCTATCATTTTACACCTGGGTAGCAGCACCTTCTCACTTGGTTATGGATCAAGTGATCAGTGCCTAGTCATAAAAGTAGTACTGCCAATATGTGCATTCTCTCCTTTTAAAAGTGCTTTAAAAGCTCTGAGTGCAGCATTAATGAAGAATCTAAAATGTTATTTTTGTTGCTGCATCACATAGGAGCCCTCACTGTGGACCAGACCCCACTGTGCTAGGAACAAACTGCCTCTCCCCATGAGAGCTTTTCCACTAGGCTAGGCAATGGTAGTATTTCTGTATCTATTGGCAGGGTTTTATACGCTTTGCAGGGGGAACTGTAATCCTTAAACCAATAGCCACTACTTTTGCGTGTATTAATGATTCAGGCTGAAGTTCTGCTCTTGCACTGAGCAGTGATTCTAACTTAGTCTCTGGTTTTGCCTCTAGGAAGCCATACTGATCTCTCTATCTACACTGAGACCCCAGATAGACGAGGCTGTGAAGAAGCCACTGGCTCCTGAAGGAAAGCAAGCTGGTGATTTATGAAATGAGAACCTGCCTCCTCATACTGCTTGTGTCTTGGAGATGGACTGCTGCTCATTTAATTTATTCTAAGGAGTAGAAGCTGGGAGCTATAGGTAGTTTCCAGATTGTTCGAGACTAACAAAAGTACAACATAAATAAAAGCTACATCTTTACTGAGTGACTGTCTCACACCAGAAGCAAGAAATATAACTTTAAAGTTGCTGGAGCCATCAAAAGCCTGAGCTCTTGAGCCTAGGCCATGCTGATAAGTGGAGCTGGCTGGCACTTGAACAGGGGAACTCCACTGGTGAATCACTAAGCAGCAAAAATGTTTTGGGACATGTGGAAAAATAAAACTCTATGAAACTCTGCACTGGACTGAAGAGCCGGGGTAGTACCCACAGGGTCTGTGTACTGAAATTAGTGACTCCCATTGATCTGTCAGAGCTGTGTTTCTTAAGCACCTCTAGAGACTATGCATCTTGTTTTTAAAGGCATTACACGTCTTTTGAAAGAGTAACACCTAGGAAGGGCATCTAACGCCTCCTGTCACTGATGGCTATCTTCCAAGTGGCTGAGTTCTTGTAAAGCAGAACTGTAACTTAACTCTTTGCACTCACCTCTCCATACTTAGATCAATATGTCAGTTTAAACTTCTAGAGATCTAGGCAATGCAAAGACGTGCCCAGGTATCTGTAGTAGTAGATATGACTGCTTTAGGCGACAAGTCCTCAGTAGTGCTACAATGCAGGGGGGAAAAAGAGAGCTAATCCCTCTAACAACATAGCTAACTGCTGCACATAGCTGAAGAGAGTTGTTCAAGGCTGTCCACACTTACAGTTGGGGCCATGGTACTGCCTGTGGGTACATCCCACTTTGTTATAGCAAAAATGCTCCTTTTATGCTCTTTACAGATATTTTCTGGCTCCCTTAAAAGGGATGTGAGGAGCCATTCAGCAATTAGAAAAGCCTTAAAGGAGCTGTTCAGGGTAAAATCTAATCCTTATTGCAGAAGTCTGCTATTAGAAGGCAATGCTTTTATGCCAGAAGCTTTCTGATATCCCCCACCACCAAGAGCTGGGACACGGTACAGTTGCTTCAAGATGTAAGAGCATCATCTTTCCTGGTGGCAATTGGCTCCATAGCTTTGAAACAATGAGCCTTAGATAACCTAGTTATGACAAGGGCAGGTTGAGTTTACTAAACCTGTAGCCTTAACATAGCAAAGACAGCAGACAGCAAGACAGTTGGAAAAAAAACACCCCTATCCACAATTATTTGGAAACGTAATGCCCAAAGTAAAACATATTTTGTAGTTTAAAAGCTTTATGCACAACACCTGGAAGTGGATGAACCAGCCACATGAAAAAAAAAAATCAAAAATTGGACAAAAATCAAATCAATGCCAGGTAACGAATGGCTCCTTGAACATCTCACATTTAAATACCAGAGCTCAGCAGGACTATTTCTCACTACCATCGTCTTTTGAGAGTCAGTAGTTGGAGGGTTTTGCAGGCAGGTTGTTTACGTGCTTCCATAGAGCCACGTATCTGGGTGTTTGGCAGATTTTGCCCTGCAGTTTTACTGGAAATGCTCCAGGAGCCATTTCTAAGGGCCAGGCACACACAGATGCTAATCTTCAGCATTTTAATTTTGCTGGAACCTGGAAACAGCAGATCAGTTATTCTGGGCCACTGGTGAGTTTCTAGTACCATTTTAATACCTGGGAAGGGGGAATAAATTTGAATTCATACAGACACCTGCTAGTTACATTAAATCCTTTCCAGTAGTACCTCAGACAAACAGCAGACAGTGGTTCACAGCAGATTCACAGGTGCCTTCAGCTCTTGCTTCCGGCTGTAATGGTTTTTAAAGTACTTGTTCTTTTCAAGATGTTTGGTACAAACAACAGCCCTGATGCCCGCTCAATGCTCTCGACAGGAACCAGAAAACGTTCAAGTGGGATCTTCTCATCCACAGGACTGTTGGGCATCACATAGGAGCGCAGCTCTATCTCCCCGCTGGGCTTCTCTAAGATGAGCACTTTGAAGAAGTGAGTAGGGACTGCCACATGGTTCTTTCCAATCACCTGGTACTTGACATACATCTTCCCATCCGCTTCCATCCTACACAGAGAGATGTTCTGTCATTGATACCACTTACCTAGTGCCCATGTCCACAGATCCCTTCTTCAAGTATTCTAGTTCCTTGTAGTTGAGATCACACCTTGCATGGACTGGAGGACAGGACATGCAGGGCTCTGTGATAGTGGTCTGTGTTGCTACTCTAAAACTTCCATTTAACTGAACCTCTTCAAGAGATTGCTGTTGCTGGATGAGGAATCTACAGGCACTTGCTTTTCATGACTACGCAAGGTTGGAAAGGCAGCCCATGCAGGAGGACACAAGCGGCAAGGGAAAAGCTAATATTGCCTCTACTTGTGCAAGATGACTGGGCTATGAAAAATGATGCAAGATGAGGAAGAAATGTAGCCTAAGCAAAGTGGAGAAAGTAAGAGGGGAAGGAATGTAAATCAAAGAGGAGTTTGGTCAAGAGGCTGACGGTTCCTCTGTGTGACATCCACCTATATTTATCGTGATTTAATCCTTTAGAGGACAACTAAATGGAATGATGGACAAGTTGATACGACTCATAAGGGTACTGGCCTACAATATCATTCTACCCTTGAAAAGCATGGGAGGAGAGTAAAAATATTGAAGAGGACTCCCTACAAACACTATATCTACCCTCTTGCATAGAAGCACGGTTAAAGTCTTATCTAAATGTCAATGTTATCTTGATATCCCTGATGATCGAAGTTTTAAAGTTGGTTTCAGTTGGTCTGATACTTACTTGGGCAGGAAGAGAGGGCCAGTGCAGACATACACATTCTTGTTGTACTTGGTTAAACTCCGGCAATATTTTTCCAGGTTATTCCAGGCATTTTGGTTCAAATGAGGATCCTGGAAACAAAGCATGATGGATTCTTGATTGTGGTAAAACACCCTGAAATCTTTGTTTTATTCTACCATTCCTATGTTCTCAGCTTTCCCTATACGTTTGTACATAGCACTTTTCATCAGTAGGTGTTTTAGTGCATTACAAAGGCATTATCTGCATTTTCCAGATGGGATGACAGAGACAGAGATAGGTGAAGGGACTTGCCCGAGGTCACCCGGCAGAGTCAGCCGCAGAACCATGACCAGAACCTGTAAGTTTTAAGGATTCTACTCACATGTTCACCTTTGTTCATAAAAACCTAGGGCTGGAAAGGGACCCCCCCCAGACCAGAGGCCAGTCTCCTGCCACTGCAGATCATGAAATGCATTAAATCCAAAAGGGCCACAGCAATGTCCCACAGCTCACCACCCCCTTGCATCATATAATCAAGCTTCCCTACTTAGTGTAACGTCCCACTTGAATTAAGCAAAGCACACGAGTGTTTTTACAGGACCATGGGCTTAGTCTGCTAGTAAACTGAACTGGCACTCAAATTACTTTGCTAAAGAGTAGTGATTTTCAGCCAGGATCCCCCCAGCTCCTTTGAAGGGTGCTGCAGGATGTCAGGAGATCAACAGATAATCTAAATAGATAAACACAGGCTCAGGCTTGTCCCTGCAGAAACAATCTTCTATCTCCATTGGCCAGCCCCTCTGCAAAATAAAAATGGGGGTGCCACTCAATTCAAACAAGTTATGAAGGGAGCCTCACATCTCAAAAAAACTTGAGAACCACCGGCTTTGAGGATTCTCTCTTTTTGCAGAGGCAGTTTGGTCAGTCCTCTGCTCCTTAACCAGTCTGGGACTCAGAAGAACTACTCTCTGCTGTGACACAGGCTTTCCTATGGTTGGGGAACCAGAGCTGCAGAGAAATAGAGTAAAAAATACTTCCTTGCCAATGTAGGTGACTGGTAGGGGGGCCCCTGAGATTGGCCCCCAAAAGTGCTAGGGGGCCTGCTTTGCTGAGGAGCCTGGCAGCATGTTGTGGGGGGCACTAAGCCACAACATGTGGGGCTGGGCCCCTCTGGCCCCCGAGAGAGCTTTTGGCCCACCCCCGGGCCTGCCTACAAATTGTGCCCCTCCAGACTCAGGAGGCACCAGTCACCCATGCTTGCCACGAAGGAGCGTGACAGCAAACCCACTGAAGACTGCACACACTTAAGGTGTAGGAGGATTGCAGGGCTACAGCCATATAATTATATGACTATGGCTGTACCAGGATAACAATATAATTATGCTGCTTTGGTTCTGCCTGTAAATTACCTGGTGTACGCATGTCCCCGGGCACTACAGTGATAGGACTACAGAAGTACAATAGAGGCGTTTGGTTGTTGGCTTGTTTTACACGCAGGCCTAGAACAGGTATCTGCTCCCTGCAGGCACAGATCATACAGGTCTTTCATATGAGGAAGCTTTGCTGTTCAGGACCTTGTGTGGGCCTGCTCTATCCACACATTGTCACCAGTGTCTGAAATCCTAATGCATCTCTCTGATATCATTCTGACCCTTTGCAATTCCTTAATTATAACCTCTCTGTCCTATTTTTTAAGTGGGTGGGTCATAGACTGTTAAGACTAGATGGGACTGTTCTGATCGTTTCATCTGAGGGCCCGTGTTAAACAGGCCCCAGAACTTTAGGGCAGTGGTTTTCAACCCGGGGTCTGCAGACTGGCTTAGGGGTTCATGACTGTAGTCAATCAAAAGTATGCAAATACCCACACTTACAATTCAAAGGGGTCCACACCTTCATTCAAAATTTCCAAAGGGGTCTGCACCTCCGTTTAAAAATTTTGTAGGGGTCCACACATGAAAAAAGGTGAAAACCACTGAACTAGGGTATTACGCCCTAGTTCAGACTTAAGTCTCTCCCACTGCAACAAACTTAATTGTGTGTAGAGGCATCATCTGGTAATTTACAGCAAAATGTGGGCTTCAGACTGAGTAGTATTAATAGAAATATTAGAGCAAAAAGGTATCAGCCACTGCCCTGAAGTGTTTGCAGCCAAGCGCTGCAGCAAAGCACTAACATATGAGAACCAGAAAGTTGAAGCGACTTGGTTTCACTGTCCAGGCTGCATAAGTGCAGTTTGGCCGTGCAGATTTCTTCTGGGTCGGGGGTTGGTAATAACAAAATGTGGTTTTAATACAGATCATGGCTGTGCAAGCAATCAAAATGCTTTACACACATGTTGGAGAATGAAGCTGTCATTTTGGGGCAGCAGGACCAGAGGTAACCATCACTTTGGTGGTTACAGACCAGCTTGTTTCTTGGGGGTCCCTATGATGGAGTTTACCCAAAGGCAGTCAGGGAAGTTAGCAAAAAAATATGGTGGGACAAATGCTGAGACCTCCTTTCACAGTTAGGGCAGCAGCTAGCTGCCAGGACCCCAGGGCTTCTCCAGCATCTGATTATGGGGTAGCTTTTACTGCTGGCAGGGTGGGATCTTGGCAGGAGAGGAAGGACACGGTTAGGATAACCTCCCCCCAGCAACTAATGTTTTGAAGGATACCATGATTTTTAAGCCTCATGATTTGCAAGGGTGGGGGGATCTAGTTCAGTGGTTCTCAACCTTTTTTGTACCAGGACCCATTTGTAAATGTCAATGGCCAGTCCCGACCCAGTGCCCCTCACTCCTGACCCGCTGTCCCCAATCACCTCAGTATGCGGGGCACGGGGTGGGTGTGTGGGGCATGGGCGGCCCCAAGCAGCCCTTGCAGGCTGGAGCTCTGCTAGCCTACAAGGGAAAAGCCAGATTCACACATTTTTCTCCTTTAAAGGAAAATCCATTTTTGAAGTTTGTTGATCCCTTTTTAAAGTTTGTTTGTGACCCTTTCATATGCTCTTGAGACCCACTTTTGGGTCCCAACTCACCGGCTGAGAAATGCTGCTCTAAAAGGCCTCTACTACACATTACCTATATTGCTCACTTCCCTGGTGAACAGCACAATACACTGAGAGTAGTCATATGTGCAAACTAAGATGAGCCACAGATGCATTAACTGGTTAATCATCCAATACATTTAAACCATGCAAAGGAGTGATCACCTGATAAACCTGACTATCCAGCTACCAGAGCCAACCTGCTATAAAGTTAGTGTTTGAAAATATAAAGTAACAACTCTACCCCTGGTTTGTATCCAGCTGGGAGGCTATCAGGCTCCAGCCACACCTGGCATACATGGTACAATTCATTGCTGAATCCCACTATTTTAGGCCAGCCACACGTGCCAAGAAAGATGGGCCACAAATGCAAAGCAGCGATCGCAGGATGAACTGGTTCATCGTGCATTACATTTAGACGGGCCACGCATGCAAAGGAAAGGTGCCCCGCTAGAAGCGACTCTCCAGCTACCAGAGCCAGCCTGCTCTAAAGTTAGTGTTTGAAGACACTAAGTAACATCTCTGCCGCTGGTTTTACCAGCTGGAATCCGACCCGGAGCTGGGCCCCAGCAGGCCGCTGCACGGACACGACCCATGTCGGCAGCCGCGCGTGCTAGGCGACGACACCCAGCAAGAGCCGCGGGCTGCAAAGTTGGAGCGCAGCAGCAGCAGCTCCGGGGCTGGCGTGTGCGCCGCCCAGCCGGCCGCGCAAGGCGGGCTAGGGCTACCCGTGGGGCGGGCGGTTCCGCGCGGACCTGGGGCGCCACGTTGCTGAGGTAGAAGGTGTCCTCCATGG